TTAAAATTAATTTGCTTGTTTTTCTCTTGTTAATCTGTCTCTTGTTTTGGGAGAGTGTCTCAAATACAACCTTATAAGAATTGAGAAAAGATTATGTATTTTCTTCTTATCATAACTAACAACTCCTATAAGTTCTTAAAACAGTATTAGCCTTTCTGAAAATAGAACACCCACTAGTTCTATTTGTCCTGAGGCTAAACTGTGCATAAGCTAAAGATTTGGAGCACATCTACCCAGCTAAAAGGTAGGAAGAACAGTGTGTTCCAATAATTGTTGATTTTACATCTTCTTCCAAATAAACATTTGGTCCCTGGCCTTTGCTCTAATATGAACAACACAGACTGAAAGGCCTAGATTACTTGTGCAGTCACCCCCTCAAACAAGACTTCTCAGTATATTGAAACAGCACTTCTTCAGTGAAGGAAATAGGCTGGCCCTTCATTTACCTTGCTCTCCTTTAGAACCTTTGTTGCCTTTTTCTCCAACTGGTCCAGGAGTTCCTGGTTTTCCATCCTTGCCTGGTTTACCTCTTGGTCCACAAGGTCCTAGGCAGACACCAACACTGCGTTGCATATCACATTGGATGAAAGGTAAGGTGGCCAAACATCTGTTAACCTGAGACTTTTCTAGTTTCAGCAATAAAAGTCCTGCATCCCAGGAAGACCTGGGCAAGCTGGGATGACTGATCACCCAACTTGTTACCCCTACTTCCCAGAAAAAAAGACCCTCAAAAATAATATGGCAGTTTAAAATTGCACTGCCATTTTGAGTTATGTTCTTCCAGGATTCACTATGCCCATATATTGATCAAACTATAAGTAATATCTTTCCTATCTCCCAGGTGATTCAGACAAACTTAGAGGATAATAATTCAGAAGTTTTTTGAAATATGCTCAGCCTATATAGAGAGGCTAGTTCAATTTCCAAACACCAATATTTTGAAAAGATTTCAAAATCATTTTTTTAATACTTTGCTGTACAAAGTATTAAAAAAGGTATAAATTCACAGAACTCAGGTATATTCAGGAAATCATTTTAAATAAAAGGTCTTTTATTTGCTGATTAAGCGTAAAATGAGCTTAATCCTAAAACTGATTATGAAAAACACTGTAATGTTTAACATTTTCAGTGAGGTTGTATCATTTGCTTCCAAAGCACTTCACAGGTATTTTGTTTCAACCACTTCCTGGTGATCCAAGTCAATGCTGACAGTCCCACACCTAGGTTTCCAGGTGGCCCTGGTGGCCCAGGTTCTCCTTGCATCCCTGGTTCTCCAGGTGGGCCAGGTGGCCCTGGACTTCCTGGAAGGGAGATGATCGTAAGTGTGCCAGGGTCTCCACGTACACCTATTGACATAAACAAAAGAAGAAGACGACAGCTTCACTGATGAGTTACCCTATCTTCATGGAGAGCAATAGTAAAGAAATATATTTACCAGGTGGTCCTTCTGGTCCAACTGGCCCTGGAGGCCCAGTTGCTCCTGGAAATCCTGGATTACCCTTCTCTCCTTAAAAAAGGAAAGAGAAGAAAAACAGTGTGATTCCTCTTAGAACAATAGGTTTCCTAGCTCTTAGGATTGATGATCAACTCTAAGGATAAATACTAGAATTTATGAGTTCTGTGACAATGGCTACAACTTAATTATGTTACTGTGGGTTTTGGCAATTCATTTGGACCCAATCTATCAGGTTTAATCAGTCTAAAAGTAGGCATTACTGCACTAAGAATTTGTATTTAGCATTGAAGGGGAAGGGTTCCTAAGAGTTCACATTTTGAGTTCAGAAACCATTTAATATTTTAGGTAAAATACAAGCTCACATTAAAACCTATTTTAGCACCTCCTGGTAAATTATATTGCTTGGTTATAGTTATCCCCTTTCTCAGATTATTGTCAGGAATTCTCTTGAGCACATATAGAATATCTGCTTCGATGTAAACTAATAAAATGGTAAGATTTCTTTCTCAATCATAGTCTTTGACACAAATAAAATTACCAAAAGCCATTTATCTGGAGAAATACTGTCTTTTAAAGAATCTTGAAATGGTCTAGATATGTTATCTGCTTACTGAGGAAGACTTTAATACTAAATATGATTTAATAGAAGAAATACAATAAAATAATTGTAGTACCAAAAATTAACAGGCTAGTACACTGTAAATTACTCACTTAATATCAGAACTTGAGGAAGGTGTTAATATTTACTTACATACACCAGAAGAAGCCTAAATGTTTTTCCCTTCGAGGATTAAAAATTTCCAAATAAAGAAGTACAAACTTGGCAGTAGTGCCAGCTGATGGTCTTATTCTGAAATCTAAGAGTATAACTGAATGTGTTCCATGGAACATATGTCAAAAGAACTGATTTTAAGAATCTCCCCTCTAAAGACCTCTAAATATTTCGCTAGAATATTTCTTTCTTTAGTGAGCCCTTATATAGCTTTCAGAGCTTAGATATTCACATTCTGAGACTTGAGCAAGTGACGGATGTTACAAATTTTTC